AGTGTGTGTGTGGGTGTGTGTGTGTGTGTGTGTGTCAGTTACAGCTAAGGCAGCACACATACTTGCTTGCGCTTACGCTGCCAGATAGACAGGCAATCAGTGCGTTTTCCTGTGCATTGTCACTGGCACAGAATAAAAGAGAAAGACAGAGAGAGAGATAGGGAGAGCGAGGGACCGGGAAGAGCAATTTAATTAAAAATTTATGAGCGTGTCGTTGTTGTTGTTGTCCCGTGTCGGGCTGGCAAACAGATAAGCAAGGCAACAAACTGTTGCTGCACTCCCCTCCCGCACACACATAAAGCGAGCACTGTGACGCCCCCTGGCGACTGCTGCGCGCACACATGCCTACCGGAAATGGCCCGCTGCCATTGTTGTTCCCCTTTCATTGTTCAGTTGTGGAAATACTGCCCTCCCATGGAGAAGTCCCGCTCAGCGCGTTATTGTTATGTTGGCTTTGGCTCATTTGTTTTGAGTTTTTACTGGCTTTGCTTAGACTTTTGCCAGCTAATTGCCAATGAGCACTTTCGCTTGCCATCTCCCTTTACACCCAGCGCACGAGTGAGGGAGGACGAGGGAGAAGTGCGCTTAATTATCAAAGTTTTTGAAACACCCACCGCAAAAAGTTTACCCACAGCGACATAATTGAAATGTTTACTTTTTCGCTTGCTGCGACTCGGAAGGTGCTTGTGTGTGTGTGTGTGTTTGCACTTTTTGTTGTTGCGCCTACAAAGTTCTTCATTTATTTCAATTAATTTGCAATTTTTGCTCATAATTTCATACATTCAATTTGTTAAAGCCGCAGACGCCACAGAGTTTCTCAAGCGAAAGTTTTTACAACTTCCGACAGTTGATACCCTGTAACCATAAACGCGAACAGTAAACTTTTACGAATGTAATATAAGAAGTGAGCTCAGCATATTGTTTGCCTTCGTGATTTGTCTTTCGAGTTAAGCACGAACAACTTTTAACAAGATTACTGCAAAAGTTAGGCATGAGAATACCATATTGTGGGCTTTTCCAATAGCCAATTACTTTTGCTCTCACATATTGCCACTTAATCTCTCTGTCGAACAGTCTCCACTGTACATGTGTACAGGATATCGACTAGTCGCGCCCCTCGGCTTGAAGCTGTTCTGCTTTCATCTGCTTTGTAATCTGCATGCTAATTATACACCTAAGTAATTACTGATTCCCTTTCTTCCACGCTTGGTGCGTAATTTATGAAGCTGCTTATCTATTAGGGAGTAACGCTTCAAGTGTTGGCTATTTATAAGCATGAAAGCGCCTTGGCCAGGCCTTTGTTTAGCTTGGAACAAAAGGATATCTTGCGCTAGGCACGTGCGTGACATTGAATAGCCGAAAGACAGTTGGCCAACTCAGCGAATTCGGTTTATGGCACATCCGCTGCGTACAATGTGTGCCCCCAGCACAATGAAAACAAAACATCGTTGCCTGGCGTAAGCGGCCTCAAAAGTGGGTTAATAGAAAGGAATATAAATCATTTACATAGGCTCTAAAATGATGCTTGCAGCAAGGCTTTAAAGTAAATATATAAAGAATATATACAAAATTTGATTAAAATTAATAAAGGCTTAGTTTTATTTATGTTCAGTTGTCTTTATATCATACAACTTCATAAAAGATTAAGTTTAGTTTAATTTATGTTCTATTAATTTTATATGATAAATGTATATGAAGGCTTAAAATTATAATACAAAATATTAAATGTTTTCTAAAAACTTAACATAAAAATAAAATACAAATTAATACAATTTACCTTGAAAATATTATATAAATTAATATAAGTTTAGTTTAATTTATGTATTTTATAAATAAATAAAAGCTTCCTAAAAATATATTAAAAAAATACGTATTAAAACTTGCTTTAAAAATATTATAAAAATGTTTACCATAAAAATTGTATAAAAAGTATTAAAAGTTTAGTTTAATTAATGTTTTGTTAAATTTGTGCTACGAAAATTAATACAAGTTCACTAAAAAACATGATAAACATTAAAAAAAACTTAAAAAAATGTATAAAACTCTACTTGAAAAAAATAAAATACATTAAAGTTTAAATAAATATAATACAAATAAAAAGTTTTGCTAAATTTACCCTCTCTTTAAAGTCCAATTTTCTTGTCTTCTGTCATCTCAATAACTAAAATGAAAAATTCAATCAGACGTGCTTCGCACTTTTCACGGCTGACGGACAAAGTTTTTGCGTGGGCTAAAAGTTTTTCGTGGCAGGCGAAATGCTTGGAAAATTGTTGATTGCAACTTTTTGTTTTTGATTCGTTTGGCTCTCAGTTCAGCCGTCAAGCGTCTCTCACTGATATTACATTTTAAATTGTGATTTGTGATTTGTCAATTGCGGAAATTCGTTTCAACGACTCCAACTGGAGCTGGATTTGAATAAGCGGGAAATGAGTGAGATTTGATACAATCTAGTCAAGGCTGCGGCAACTGCGCCAACTCGAGCCAAACAAGTTTCTGGCCAATTTAGTGAAATTCAAGCAATGCTATTTGCATACTGTCGGAGGCAGTTGCTCGATTTATGGTAAACATCATGAGAGTTTGCCCGCACACTTTATGCAAAACCAGTCGGATGTATTTCTTCTTGGCAATACAATACCGCAAATCCGTTTCTCTTTTCAGTGTTTTTTTCTTTTCATATGGCTATCGCATAAGTAGCGCCCACAGCAGCAGCTGTCGGGTCCTTTGTTACCGCCCGCAAGTTGATCTTAGCTCTGCCTATAGGATGTGCTCCCTTTTCGCTTTATTTGTTGCACGCGCTTCGCTGTTGCCCACGCATGAAACCAACACCAAAATGCGATTACTTCATATGTTTTGTGTGTGTGTGTGTGCGTGTGTGTGTGTGTGTCTGGCGCCAAATGTATGTAGAAAGACAGGCTTATTCAGTGTGGTATACGTATGTCTGTTGTTGGCTTATGAAACGTGTAGCTCAAGGGGTCTTAAAAGCTTTTTCAATTGTTGAATATTTTACAATTTTTTTATTAGCTTTGTGGTGGCGATTACCGCAATTTTATCCCTTTAACATTTCAAGTGATGCCTGCTGGCAACACTGTTGTTGTTATTGTCGTTGTTGTTGTTGTTGTTGCTGTCAGTGCTAGTGTAACATTTCTTTTTTATGTTTATTTCTCATTAACAACAAGCGAGCTGCGCATTTTGTTGGCCCCGTTTTAATGGCCCACGGACCGTTGATTTTAACGTCTCGTGCCAGTTGGCGTTGCTATTGCTGTTGTTGTTATAGTTGTTGCTATAGTTGATTTTTTTTCACAAATTAGTCGCACGAACATTTTTGCTGTGGTGGCACTAAATGGCAGGAAAAAGTCGACCGCGACAGCCCGACGAAGCAGCGCAGCGCAGCGCAGCGGCAGCAGCACCGACGGCGGCGGCAAATTGTTTGCAACATGCAAAGCAAAGGCTCGCAAATAGGCCGACATAGTAGTCGGTGCCCGAAAAGAGCGAAGCACTCAAACCCCAGGCGATGGCAACGGCAACGGCAACGGCAACGACACTGACACCGAAGCAGCGCCCCACCGCGCCGGACTCCAGTTTTTGCGGCTAAGCAAACAGGCTGGCACACACAGAGGCAGGCAGGCAAGCAGGCGGGCAGTCAGACACAGCGTTGTCCTTTCTGTCCTGACAATACAAACACAAACAGAGCGACACAGAGAGAGAGTGAGAGTGAGAGAGAGGGCAAGGGAGTCAGAGAGGCAGATCCTATCTGCACCTGATTTTACCACAGCCTTTACCAGTCCTCTGCAATGCTTCTACTGTTTCATCCAGTGTCTCTGTTGTTGTTTTTTTTTGTATACATTTATGTAGCATACTTACGTGCGCACGAAATGAATATGGATTTGCTTTTAATTACAGACTGAGCACAAAAATAACAATCATGAGACCATTTCTCGGCTGGTATTTCGTTGCCAGCGGCTTTCGCTTGGAATTCCTGCTGAGGGTTTGGTTGCAGCTATTTTGGGGCGCATATTTTATGCACAAATTTCGTTTACTGCGTGCTAATTTGAGCAAAAAGGATTACATAGACCAAGAGCCAAGCATAATGCAATCAATTCAATCAATCAATGATGGATGATTGAGAATTATAGCTGACAGCGATAATTTATGAATGGCAAATTTGTTCTTTTCTCTTTTTATATAAAAACTCATCATTTGGGCTCCACATTTAATAAAAATTATATGTATGGCCATATATTTTTTATTTAATTTTTTACATTATTATTTTATTAAATGTTGAGCTTGTTGATTTAACGCATATTTTGTTAACTTTATGGCATACTTTATTTTATTTTATTTTATTTTTTGCGTTGTTTTTAAAAGCATTTCAGCGTAGCTGTCTGTCATGTCTTCAATTAGTGTGCGTCGGTGTGTTATCCCACAGGGGGTCCCCTTTTTTTATCGCGTCGTAAGGATATTGCCTGTCATTGCTGGCGAATCAGGTCAAGTCAGGCCCAGCCCAAATGCCTGGGCTGGGCTCACACTCAGTTCGCTTTAACGAAAAGTCTTTCACACACACACACACACACTCGCACACATGGAGAAGGCTTTATGTAAAAAATGTGCCTAAAAGGTATGCAGTGCTTACCAACCCAACACACACACACACATACACTCACTCTCACATACTTTCAAGCAAAGATAAAAGCGCTGCCCGCTGGCGCTGCAAATTTTCTCCAACCTTTGCGCTGGAACGCGCGTTTGCTTCCTCTGCTGCTTCTTCTTCTTCTTCTGCTGCTGCTGCAGCGTGTGTAACTGTTTAAATATGTATTGGCCTGCATATTTAATAAGCTACACGTGCTTTTCAGCTCTCTCACACACACACGTTTAATTTGGCAACTTGATAATGTTCATTGGTTTATTAAAGTGGGCGTGTCCATCACGTTTTTTGGGGGGTATCTTACTCTAATTATGCGCTGTCACTGTGAGTAGGGGCAGGTGGGGGTCAGGGTACTTACCCATTTAATATGCTACACAGCTTAATCCTTTGTCTGCATACATTATTCAAGCACGAGCGTTAAAAAGCGCGCGCGTTTTTTAGATGCACACACAAAAAACGCGCGCGCGCGCTCACCTGACGAACTGGCAAGCACGTCAGGTAAGAGTGCGGTGTGTGCGTGTGTGTGTCTGCCGTTTGACAAATTACACGCGTGTGCTTTTCTTGTTATTACAATTGTTGTTGTTGTGGTCGTTGTGGTTGTTGTGGTTGTTGTTATTCACACATTTCGTAGCACACTTCAGGGATGCTGATAAATTGCTCTTTTGCTGAGCATTTTGTATATAAGATGATGTGATTTTTCTTGCATTAGATGAATATTTAATATTTCAATTTCATTACGTGACAGCGACAGAAGAGAGTCACAGACAGAGACAGAGGCAGAGACAGAGAGAGAGAGAGCGAGTGGGAGAACGGAAAAGATTGAAAAGTAGTCAAGTTAGAGAGATACGAACTAGAGAGTAGCGAAAGTCTCGCATGTCCATTTAATTGTTGCCCCTTAGCGTTCTCATTATCAGCTTGGCTAACACTACACAAACACATGTGAATAGGCAACCGTTGTTGTCCATGTCCCTGTCCATATCCGCGTCCGCGTCCTCGTCCGCGTCCGTGTCTCGAGTGCGTCATTAGGCGTTTGTTAATGGCTTTTCAGTGTCGCCATTTGCCAGCAGGAGTAGCAGCAACAGCAGGAGGAACAGCAGCAGCGGCAGCGGCAACTCACATGCCTGAAAGTATGCAGTGCAGCGCGCGTGTAAACTCATTTAATATGCTTTATGACGTCATTCATTCGCTCTACTGGCCTGCATGGGCTGCCTTAACAATTCCCCAACTCGCCCCCAGCTCGCTCCCAGCCAGGCCCGGCTCAGCCCAGCCCAGAGGCACATGCGACAATTCTTCTGTTTCACTGTGTTTTTATTTTACTTTATTTTTTTTTTCGGGCGGCTCTTCTGCTGTTGCCTTTTTTTCGCCACCATTGTTGCTGGTGGACACGCCTCTTTTGTTTACTTTTGCCTTCATTGTGGCGCAAGCGTTGGCCATTTCGAATGCACATAGCCTTGGCTCACGAGCGCTGAATATCCCCGGGCAATACGCTTAAAACGCGTACGGGCCTAGACATGAAATATATCACGCGAATATGTTCTATATTTATTCAACATGATAACTAGTTACAGCTCACAGCTAACATGGGAAAAGGTAACTAAATGTCTTCACTAACTAGATTTAGAATATTAAAAACAAATTTTTTGAATGGGAAGAGAGCAGAGCAGTAAATGAAAGATAACGCTTCTTTAGTGGAGGCATAACTGGAAAAAGGAAAGGAAGGAGCTAGAAAGCTTTTGACACAATCAGAATTATTAAAAAAATGTGATGGTTCCATAACTATCAATTTAATATATATTTATTGCCATTGAATTAGTCAACTTTAAATATTTTTAATAATTATTTAAAGTTAGCCAATTCCATAAATATCAATTTAATATGGAATTTATCATATCTAACTAATTCTGATAAATATGATTTTAATAATATTTATGAAGTTGTCCATAAATAGTTCTAATAGTTCTTATTGCTCCAAAGCCTTTCTAGCTGCTCGCTCCTTTCACCTCTTTTTTTATCTTTTCTTGACAAACTCTAACTTTTAAGTATTCTCCTGCATTATATAAAACTCACATATGTATTTACTACTCTTCCCTCGCTCTTCACTTGTTTGTCTTTTGATGTCCTGCCATGCAGCATTCAATCTGCTTTTAAGCCCATTTGAGCCCTGACCGCAGCTGAAATCTAAAGTGGAGCTGTGCTCAACTGGGCGCAGGTCAGTTAGGCGCTGACCTTGTGGCTTTGTGCCTGCTGACATGCCCAAATATGAGCCTAAACTTAGTCACGATATACGATATATACGTATATATGTATGCTGGGTGAAATTGTGTTGATGGCCCCGTTGATTACATGTCTCAGCTGGTGACTGTCACTTGGCTGCGCTAGTCCAACCACTTAGCAATTGGCTAACACGATTTTGGCCAACTTGTGGCAAGTCCTGTGAGGTCGTATCAGAAAACAGCCTATTTAGTACTCAGCACGGACTGACTGAAGTCACGTTTTGGCTGCTTGTTTACCTAACCGTTTGGGACAACTCAGCACTTAGCCAAGGCCTCAACGAGCAGCTGACCGCAAGTAGACTCATTGCTGCCGCAACATTTCATTTCGCGATTCTGGGTGCCATGAAATTTAAATGTAGTTTTTCGTATTAGAAACTTTAAGCACTTTCAATGGCTAAACTCCAAAAGAAACGATAATAAATCTAAATCTAACAGCTTATGAAGAATTATTATTTTACAGTTTTAATTCCCAAGACTCGCTTTGCGAACTTTCTCTGTACTGTCGCCCTCTCTCTCTCTCTCTCTCTGTCTTTCTAACTTTTCGGCTAACTTCGATTCACTGAACGATCGAATTCTTGTGCTATTTGGCATTAACTTTACTTTGTTTAACTTCACTTGACTTCACGCAACTGAAATTCCAAGAAACTCCATTTTATTTTCACTATTGTTGTTGTTGCTTTGTTTTCTTTGTTTCTCAATTTTCTTGTTGTTGTTGTTGGAGTTTGCTAACTGCCAGTATTTTCCCGTCCCGTCCCGTACCGTGCCGTCTCGGCTTGTCCCGTCTTGTTTCGCGACTGACCGTTGCTTAAAGAGCTGACGAAGCGGTAAACGGAAATGGAAACATGAACTGAAACGAAACGAATACCGTTACTCTAACTGCATCGGCTCCGTATTGTTTGGACGTCCGTTGGCGTTCAGGCTAAGCAACAAACTGTTGTCGCCAGCTCAAATTCAAGTGCGTGTTCGAGGCTCGTGCAAAGCTTCGTCGCTGGCGAGGAGCTCGTGTTTGTGTTTGTTGTGCTTTCACACACATACACACAGACACACGCACACCGATACACACATACTGTCGCACACAGCACGTGCTAAGCTTGAGCTTTCCTTTTGCTTGGCGTAGCACGTGAGGCCGAGACAATTCAATTGGTTTTCTCAACAAGTGGAAAGCTTTCAATGCGCCATCAATTAGCAGCACAGGCGCTAATTGAATTTTCATGGCTACCGAAAAGAAGAAAAAAAGCTCACCACAAACGTTTCTACCTCAACCTGTTGACCAGAGCAGCGTCGCTTTGGTGCGGGGCACGCGGCTAGCGGAGACGGAAGCTTTTATTGCATGCTGGCTTTTGTCCTTACAGTTTGCAAATAGTTTTCTGCCACATCAAGGACTCTGCCTTGCTCTTGAAACTGGCAACTAGCTAGAGCCAGAGCGGCTGAAATATTTATGCATACATAAGGTCATCGAAGCAATTTGTCCGCTCCGCTCAGCTGGCACTAAAACTACTTATATACAACATTCACACTGTATGATGCGGTTGGGTTCTTGTCGGCGAGTCGGCAAGTACGTGCATACTATAAAGATATATATATATATACATATATACACATTGGCCAGGCTGTATAATTTTATGTTTTAATACTTTGCCAAGGACAAGGTAAGATGGCTGGCATAAAACTTTTCAGTTTTCGGCACAAAAAGTCTATAATTGAAATTTAATTGAAGTATAATTGAATGCGGCAAGGAGCTGTAAATTTGTGGCAAGAGATAGTGTTGCATTATGCATGAGCTGCAGGCGTACAAATTATGGCTATTTTCCCACTCATTATGAGTATTTGCAGCTTGGCTATTATTTGATTTTGCATTATTTTAAGCCGACGAGCGAGCTTTGGATGTTAGCGCCATCTGTTGTGTTTTTGTTGGAGTTACTGCGCACAGCTTTTGTTATAATTCAAAATGGGAATAAATTTGAGGTTTTTTAAGACTCATTTCAAATGAAAATCGAGGCCGAATTCATTTAAGCACTTGTTTTATATTTGTACGTATATTTGCCATGAGTAAATTTATGCACTTTTCAATATGTGTATCAGTCTTTATTTACAATTCATCAGGCCTGTGACAAGGCCAAGCTTTGTTTGATCTTGAGCGCTGTAAGAGCTCTAGTTGGGCAGTGAGAAATAAATTTGAAATTTATATTTTGAATATACATATAGTTTATTTTATCACTGTGCATTTATTTTTGTAGATTTTAGCTGCATAATCTCTAGCACACGTATACTTAATGCCGTTGTTTGAGGGGCAACAGGTTTATAACTTACAGTTAATGGCGTTTGCTAAGGATGAAGGAAAACTCATTAGCAATTCACATAAATTTACAACCTGGCCTACAACTACAACTGTATATACGTGTATATTGTGTTTCAAATAAAATACCCTATCGATTTGCGGTTGCGTTGAAGACAAAACAATAGACCACAAGACTAACAGCTTAGGACAACAAAGCGTCCTGGTACGGGCCAGTACTTTAGTTTTTATTTATCTATGTATATATATTTATATAAATGTATACTTAAGCACAGCATGACAGCTTGAGAGAGCCGCACGATAAATGCTTGAAAGTGCCTCAAGGAGCAATTTGATGTTAAACGCTTTTTGTTTCTAGTTAATTGCATGCGGCTTTTCGCTTGAATTGAAACTGTTTTTGTAGGTGTTCTGATGAAACAATTTAACACATATTTAAATGGAAAACGTAAACTGGTTCCACGATTGACGTAAATTTCTTCAGAAGTCGAAACGGAAACCGGGCAAACTCCAAATAAATCCATATAGTATTTTTTTGCATATACATATTTATGTGTTTATTTATATATATGTAAATCCGATTGCTACTCAACTAGTTGTTGGCTGACTTCTGATACTTCTATTTTCAAATGTCAAGTATGCCAAAAAAAAGAAGCAAAATATATACGAAACACAAAGAAGCAGAAGAAAAAATTGGAGACTCGAAATAGACAATGACAGCTCAGAAAGGTCTTGACTCGAGTCGTATGCGAATGACAAGCATTAAAAACAAAATAAGACAAAATAAAGAAAAAGAGGCGAAAAAACACTTTGGCACACTTTAAAGTTGAAGCGACGACGTTGGCAGTTCGTCACGCCTTTAGACGCCTCTCTGTCATTTAGCAACCGCCGTCTATGGACCATTATTGTTTTTAATTTGGCTTTAAACTGATCAAGGTCGCAGCGACAAAAAAAAAGCGGATTTAAATTGGAACGACGAGATGCCAGACACGATAGTTGACCGAATGGAAGGAAATGCTACCATTGGCTACCATTGCCAATAAATACCTGCACTTAACAATTTTATTCGCTTGGGCATTGTTTGCTGTTGAGGTACTTATCACAATGGATTTACCATTCGGCAAAACCAGTTTTTTACATGAACGTTTTGTATAAAATAAATACCAAACATAAATGCAATAAAAATCAACTTTGAATTCAATATAAATAAGTAAGCTGAATGGCATGGCATCTAGAGGCCTCCAGAGCAGAGACAAATTGATTCGAAAGCAATTTAAAAAAATATATATAGTACAATTTATTTTTGAATCAATTTAAATGACAAATAAATTTAGAAATAATTTTATTAAGTATTATTAAGTAATTTAGAGCAAAAATTCTAATGGTTCACCCCATTTATAATACGCTCAAATAACCTTTGATCAGCAGCGTATTCAAGCATTCAATAGCTCTACAATAACGGTTAATTATGGTTGTTGTTTATGAACGTATGCATAATGTACGTATACTTATTTTAATGAGGGTACACCCAGTTTTGAATTTCTGGAATTTGCCAGCGAAGCGCTAAAAAAGCTTAAGACAAAAAGCCAAGAATTGAATTTCGCAGCCGCAAGTGGGCAGCAGCGGCAGCGAATACCATCCACACAGTAAAATGCAGTCCACAGTTCAGAGCCAACACGCTGCAGCTGTTACTCACCACGGCCAGCGCTCGAGCAGCGCGGCAACCAATACCAAGCCACTGCTGCCATTTTGCATATAAAAGAGTGTCGCGTACGTGCCGCACTTCTCTCTTTCTGGGCGACAGTCAAGTCACGAGCGTATTTCGAACGGCACTTGTGCAACCGAGCAACGAAAGTCGTCGTCGAAAAAGCTCACAGCCAGACTCTGTGTACGTGCGTGCGTGCGTGTGTGTCTCTGTGGAACGTATCGCTGCCCCTGCAGCCAGTTAGCGAACTGTGTTGAATTAAAAAGCTTGCGCACGAACTTTCCAAAACTCACCACGGCGCCAACGGCTACTGATCGACGGCCAGAGAGTTGCCGACGTCGCCGCGTGTAATAAAAGAAGCAAATTTGAGTTGGTTTTTGGGCTTTGGCGTTGACTTCGAGAAATTGTGCGCGACAACGTAGCAAACAGTGTAAATGGAGCTTTGATAGCGAACGGAAGGACAAAACTCTGCTGCCGCTGCTCAAAGCCGATCTCGACTCGAGTGTTTCTCTAACATATCATTGTGTTTGAATAATCTGAAAGAAATATTAAAAATAAGCAAATCAAAAGCCAACTGCAGACAAACTAAAGAGAAAACTGTGCGCGTGCTATTATCTGTAGAGGGTATACAGAATGGCAAAACTTTTTGTTGTTTTTGCCGTTTTGGCTTTGGCGGCCATTGGCTCAGGTAAGCATTAAGCTAATATTTTCAATTAATCCTAAGCTACTCTTAAGCACATATATTTAAAAAAAAAAAATAATAGTTGTTTATAGTGTGGGCTTTGTTTTAATGGCACTGTCTGGCATTTGCATTTGTTCAGCGGAAGTTGTCAATCAATTAAAAAAAAAATAAAGACCTTCAAAATAAGAAAAAAAAAAAACACAATATTGAAAGCTGACTTTAGCCTGTTTGTAACCTTGATTGTGCAAAAAAGGACGCGTAACCAGCTGCACAACGACAATCACTTGTTGCACTGGCAAAACAACTTTCATTTCTGTAGGGTTTCTTGGCGGATCCTGAGATTCAACTCGAGTCTACTCGATATAAGCATTTCAGCTTAACCTAAAAATGTTACTTGAAATCGAATTCGAAATCGAATTGAAGTCGAGTCGATTCGCGTCGCGTCGAGTTGGTCTTTTGACATTTGTGGAATGCATTTGTTGACTCTTGACAGGCCATCGATCAATATGTGTGAATGAAGTACTATGTATATGCATTACACTGTTGTGCTGTGTAATTTGCCCTGCGGTGCCATGGCCGAGTCTCGATTAACCGTTAGCCGTCAACAGTTATGCAAATATGGCTAACTGTTTCTCTTTCACTGTTGCCAACTGTGCCTGCAAAATGTCAAAGTTATAGCCGAGCGCAACAAGTATTTCATTATTTTCAGCTCAGTTGTTATTGCTGTTGTTATTTTTGGATTGCGGGTTCTTTTGCATTGGTATTGGTGACATCGTATTTCATAATGGCAAACGTGTTTCTATTTGGCCAACCCCAAGAGGCCCAACCAGCTAGACGACATGCCGTTAGCCCCCGTCAGCATCAACATATGTCTATGTCTATATTCATGTCGGTATTCCATTTTGCTTTTGCTTTTTTTGTATTATCTATATGTATATATATCTCTATATATATGTACATAAATATAACAGGAAGTGCCAGCCAAACGTCGCGAAACCAACCCACATTTGCAATACCAAAATCCATGGCAATATCAAACTCACAAAATTCTTCCGGTTTTGCAACAACAACACTTACCCACAGAAAATAATAAAAGTTTTAGTTTTTAAATTTTACTTTGCATACATTTCTAATTTTGAAAAATGTATACAATTTTCTAAAAATAGATTTTTATATATGTATTTAAAAATATTATTCAATTATCAGCTACTAGTTTGAGGTTGATAATTTTT